GTATCAGCAACCACGTGGTCACCAGACGCCTTTGGGCAACATCTGAACTTTAAAATTACAGCCATGTTTTGGTTATGTGAAATACTGTAGTTTCGGAACATGTTGAAAGTCACCTGATGTTTATTACCATGGTTACATGAAAATCAGGTTGGGTGACCTATCATGGACCTGTTGTAGATCGTAAAACACCATCTGCAGCAAAGAGCTTGAACGTCATCGAGTAGAAAATGTTAGCGAGAGTTCCACCAAGATGATGTTTTCAATCAGTTTCGATCCTCACAACACTAATGGCTGTGTGTAATTTCCTGTGGCTTGTTCCATCCAAAGGCTGACGGTTATGATCACTTTTACGCTTGCATCACATCGACTTTGTAGAATGTGTTGCAGTGAGAACAGATGGCTGCTAGAATTGGGATATTATTGATTCTGTTGACGTCCCACTCGCTGGCGATAAACAAAACCTGTAAAGGCCGTGTTTTCAACATGTTCAACAGCTTTCCTTGCAGGGTACCAAGTTTATATGCTTTCAGTGGAATGTCTAATATTTACCTAGCACTTCACCAGATTATTTTGTAGTGTGTCTCATATTTTTCAACAAAGAATAGCTTATAAAACATCCTGTTCTGTAAATAAAATAAACAGTCCTTTCAAAGCCTCACTTTTTGACTTATGTCCTTGAAGCTCTCATTGTTTTTCCGGAGCTGACTTTTTGACTAAGGTCTTCTTAGATCGATAGTTATGTTGATCAAATGTGTTGTGCGTACCCATGTTTTGAAATTAGCTTATCCATTCCTCATTACTGTCCAATCAACAACACCCCCAATCAACTGTAACCAATGGGGAACATTCCTGGAGTTGCGCCCCCTTGCCTGCTTGGAGCTCTGCGGGAGTTACGAACCAACAGTAGCTGTCACTCTGATACTGGCCTGCCTATCGGCCAAGCCTAAACTAAATCGACATTAAACCTACTTTTTACTCTGTGATTCTTATATTACGAATTACGGAAGCTGGAAGTTGCCCTGACTAAAGACTGTGCTCAAAGCGAGAAGAACTAGTGTGTCTGGACGAAAAATAAAGCTAATAGAACGGTACTGCAGTTATTGATAATATTTCTCGGAATTTCTTACTGTGCAGTTGCCTCGTAAATTCGTGAAACCATTTACTCAGCCATCTATTGGCAAAGCGGTAAAGGGAGATAACTGAGGAATGTTCCCCGTTAGAATTGTGATAACAGCTTACACATTAACAATTGGTTGATGTTACTGTTGACTTGAGATGACTGTAGTTTACTGTCTGATGCAATATCCCATATACATGATGTTGGTCTATTAATGATTAATTCTGGACCGGACAATCAAGTGATCCTGACACGCTTGTACTCTTCCAGACAATGCCATTTCCTTAGTGCCAGCGAACTGAGATACCATGTCACAGTTTAAGATGAATACCCCACTGAGACACAGTATACCTACTCTGCCCACACCGTTTATTGTTTATCATGTTAATATGAAGCAGGGTGGTGGGGTAGCCTAGAGGTTTAAGCGTTCACGCGTCACGCTGAAGACCCTCTACATGGGTACAATGTGTGAAGCCAATTTCTGGTGTCCCCCGTCGTTATATTGCTGGAATATTGCTAAAAGCGGTGTAAAAAAACCTCACTCACTCACTTATATCAAGCACCAGACAGGGCAACAACAAGTACCATGTTTTAGCATCATAAGGTACTGTGCAGCTGGGATTACCCCACAAACTTTCAGCCCACTGGCCAGACTCTGTATCCACTACACCACAGAGGCGACCTACCAGCTCTTGATTAGATTTGGAAGTTGCAGACTTGTATTTATACAGTAACTGAAAATTTCCGATAGGAACATTTGACCTTCTCAGAATGAGTCTCTGATAACCATCAACAGGTTTGAAAGACCTGTAAAACCAGTATCCTCAATCCGGGGTATATTTGCTAGCTGTTTGCCCAACAAAATGAAGGTAGCTTTTGGGATATTTTGAAAAACTAACAAGGAAACACTGGTAACTGATGTTTGAGATAACAGATGAATGAAATGTCATGCCATTGAACCTGTCGAATAGGCTGATGAAATCCATGATAGCCCCCTAACAATTGGAGTATTGCCTTGGAGAACAATGTTGCTTGTCAATGACATTGACTGTGATATGAGCTGTGTGTGTATAGCAACAAGGAACACGGAGGAAGATAATGTTGGTGTATGATTTCACGCTCGACTAATGAAAGTTACATACACAGGCTTGTGTTACACTTTATAATCATGATATCCCTGTCTGTGGTTGAATGTGTTGACACTCGTGTGAGATAAGATGGTAAAGTATTTTCCCTCATCAAATTTGTGTCTGCATGTGAAAGTGTCGTGAATGATATCAATTTTATGGTATCATTTACATAGGTGAAATTATATTACCACATGCTACAATTTTGATTTGTCACATAATTTATCAACATTTTCTCTGTTCATACAAACCTGAAGGGTTCTTCTCACTATATATTAAGCGTCTCTTGTTTTCCTGGAATAACCGCATTTGAGGTTTTTGTTTGCTCTCAGGTTTTACTTTTTGTAAGTAAGACCTCTTCCCAGGTTTTACTTTTTGTAAGTAAGACCTCTTCCCAGGTTTTACTTTTTGTAAGTAAGACCTCTTCCCAGGTTTTACTTTTTGTAAGTAAGACCTCTTCCCAGGTTTTACTTTTTGTAAGTAAGACCTCTTCCCAGGTTTTACTTTTGTAAGTAAGACCTCTTCCCAGGTTTTATTTTTTCCTAACTCTATATGAACATCAACATTCAAATGATATATGAAGGTTTGAAATCAGTTGAAAAATATAGTTCAAGATCAATTTCAAAGTGCAAATGTTTCCCCAAGCAGGATTAGAACCACATCTATCGGGTTAATAAGCATACGCTCTACCTCATGGCCTCCGAGTCGTCGAAGACGTTGGGGTTGAATTATCTATTCATAGTTGCTGTAATTAAATTGATTTTACTTGCGCTTCAGTTATTGTTATGTAGCTTCCTTAAATGATCATCTACATTATAATTATCTATCATTGACGGTTTATATGTTAGGGAAAACACTTCCCCGAGGTTTTGGTAGAGCTTTCCCACCTCCCTCAGGTTTTGCATTCTCTACCAAAACCTCGGGGGAGTGTTTTCTCCTATACATACAGGCCCAGGACGACTTTAACATTCACAAAGGGACATGCTTCATAAAATAATACACAGTGAGTTGTTTCTTTTCACCATGTTCAGAGATTGAGTGGTGAACCTAGTCCAAATAGTGAAGAAACTAAAAAACATTGACAATAATTACCTGGCAATCGGGGCGTTTGGGTAGCCTAGAGGTTAAAGTGTTCACTCGTCACACGGAAGATCTGGGTTCGATTCCACACATGGGTACAATGTGTTAAGTCCATTTCAGGTGTCCCCCAACGTGATACTGCAGGAATATTGCTTAAAGTAACGTAAAGCAATACTCACTCACTCACTCACTCACTCACTCACTCACTCACTCACTCACTCACTCACTCACTCACTCACTCACTCACTCACTCACTCACTCACTCACTCACTCACTCACTCACTCACTCACCTGGCAGTCACATGACCCTTTCATATTTCTTAACAAATGAGTGATATCTCCACAAAAGCACAGACTGTCTAAAAACATTGGTTTTGGTCAGGGTGTTGAAAAGATTACTTACAGTGTGGTCTGGAAGTTGGTCTAGCTTCATTATCAGAACACGGTGCTTAACACAAGGAATATGGTAATTCAACGCATGCATTGATTGATGGAGATACAGTAGTCTGTCTCACAGTCCCTGAACCACATTATTTTCCCTACTGCCAAGCCCTATCTGCAGTGCTAAAGCCCTAAATAAAGCAAGTCTAGATTTCCCCAGGTTCAGGATCTCTGGTCTCCCTGGGGCTCCTTTTCAATTTAAATTGGCTTGTTTGTTACTATCAAAATTATATATATTCAGAGACTAAGCATTAGTCTAGAGATACAGGAGCCCTCATCTTAAGTGGCATGGTTTATGGGGATGCACCATTGATCCGCGCTGCCTATCGTTGATGAAATTGCTGGTATGGATCACATTGTGTGTGAATTTAGCCTGCATTCCTCAGTGTAGCACTGTCCACATGGTGTGGTTATAGAGCCATATGTGTGGAGAGTGGGATGATGGTGGTTCAATTTTCTGGCCACATCGAAGAGAAAAAAAATAATGGTGTAACTTCTTGTTTTCCTTCCTGTCGTTAAAGGGATAAAACATGGACAGGGTCTGAGACAGCGTCGTGTATCTGAGTGGGGTGTCCATGTTGCACTAGAGTATGGTATCTTGGTAGGCTAGTGAGTAAGTGAGTGAGTGAGTTTGGTTTTCAGCACTCAGCAATATTCCAGCTATATGGCAGCGGTCTGTAAATAATCGAGTCTGGACCAGACAATCCAGTGATCAACAGCATAAGCATCGATCTATGCAATTGAGATACAATGACATGTGTCAACCAAGTATCGAGCCTGACCACCCAATCTTGGGAGTCTAGTACTCTGTAACAGTGTAACTTTAAGTTTGGACAAATACACGCACCTTATTTCGCCTCACTAAAGCCTGTCAGTCAGGCATAGAAAGACAACAAGCCGGTAAAATATGAAATAGTGTTAGAGGTGTTTTGGTGGTATGTAGAATTTCAGACCTCTAGGCTGGGAAGGGTTGGTTGATAAAATCTATAAACTGGTGAACCGACAGGCTTAACATGGAGGTGGTGTGTGGCATGTTTGACTATGTCATTCCTTTTTAGTGTTGGATGGTGTTCTTAATATCAACCATCAGATTAGCAGGAATAGTAGTGGTTATGCCTGTCAAGAGATAACAACACAGACCTTGCAATATAACAATTATTTTTTTATAATCTGATTACTAACTACTGTCCTGTTAACTGAAGAATTTGTCACATATGATATATTTATTTTTTCAGCATGAACCCATCGAATATGCTAACCTGCCATTGGCTGGAGAGGGAGATAACTCTGTTCCCTCACTGCCAGCAGAAGGAGACTCCGGTCGGAGGCTAGTTGATTATCTCCCCTGGTATATCTACAATGAGCATGGACCAGGAAGACCCTATTATATCAATGTAGACACAGGCGAGAGGGCCTTCAAACCCCCTAGGCATAAAAATCAGGTATGATTATGAGTTAATCTCTGTTTTTCACTGAAGCTCACTGCTTCACAATGTATGTCTCCCATGGAGTTTTGGGGACAAGAAACGGTCCCAAGTTGTTCATGTTTGTCGTCCTTGATAGTCCTCTGTATTTGATCCCCATAGTTTCACAATAAACTCCCTGGACCCAATGACCACTGTAAAACTGTTTGGGACATGGTGTCACCAACTCCATACCTCTAATCACTGACGGTGGGGTGGCCTAGTGGTTAAAGCGTTCTTTCGTCATGCCAAAGACCAGGGTTTGATTCCCCACATGGGTAGAATGTGTGAGGCCCATTTCTGGTGTACCCCACTGTGTTATTGCAGGAATGTTAAAGTGGCGTAAAACTAAACTCACTCACTATCACGGACTTACCACAGAAGTTCTACAACAAAGCTGAAGACATATAAGTGATTATTTAGGAGGAAAAGGTGTTTTTCAGCCTCTTTCATTTTGAAACATTACTCCTCAGAAGGAACTTATATCATGGCTTCTTTCAATAAAAAAGGCATGGTTTAAGTTCATTTCAAAGCTATGGTGACAAGTCTCAGAAATGGTCTCCAGTGCATACTGGCCTCCCAGTGAGTTGAAGCACAAGAAATGTCCCAACTGCCCCATGCTTGTCACCAAAGGGATGCCAGACCAAGAAGACCAAGTTTGCCATGAAGAACTACCAAGGTTTCTTCTCAAGATAAGGATGCTTCCGCAGAACAATTATGGTTGGACCAGAGTTTGGTGCTAAAAAGGTACTGAGATCAGACCAAGGGTTGCTTCTGAAGAAATACTGAGATCAGACCAAGGGATGCTTCTGAAGAAGTACTGAAATCAGACCAAGGGATGCTTCTGAAGAAGTACTGAGATCTGACCAAGGGTTGCTTCTGAAGAAGTACTGAGATCAGACCAAGGGATGCTTCTTAAGAAGTACTGAGATCAGACCAAGGGTTGCTTCTGAAGAAGTACTGAGATCAGACCAAGAGATGCTTCTGAAGAAGTACTGAGATCAGACCAAGGGATGCTTCTTAAGAAGTACTGATATCAGGTTCTGAAACCAGACCATTGGTTGCTTCTGAAGAAGTATGATATCCGACCAACTGTTGCTTGTGAAGAAGTAGGTGTAAGGGCTACCTCTAAAGAATTGAATGTAAGATCATGCTGAAAGATTGTGTAAATTATAACTATGATAGGATTAGCTGCATAGTAAACCATTTCATATGAAATCTGTTTCAGTTTACTGAATTAGTTTCTTTTTCTTACAGAAAATTGCGGAGAAACTGTCACCAACTTTACCAAAGGTGAACTTTGACCTAACTGGGAGCATATTTCCAAGAGACTCGGAGTATGATGAAGTGAAAGATGATGGGAAGGTTTTTCACGTCCACAAAAAGACAAAAGACAAGGTCAGCAAGGATGCAATTAATTTAGGCGGCAACATTCAAAAGTATATTTTGTTTTTTCATTTTATTTTAATTTTTTTTTATAATTGATGCTGTTGATTTAAAAACAACATATTTTATTGTTTATTTTATTTTTGATGTTTAGTTTAATTTGCTTTACTGTATTTTGTTTCCATAGAGATATAGAGGCAGCAGCTTAGTAAGTTTTTAGTTTGAATATGTTTGGTAAATTTTGAGCAGTGAGAATAATTTTGCTGTTATAAAGAAGGAAAACTGATTATTCAAATAAGGTCTCTCATAGCTTTTTATTCTTGCATATTTTTGTTTATTCTTATTGCTTTTGTTTCTTACCTTGCTTTTAAATATGATCAAAGTAAACAGACTGTCAGAAAGATGAAACACATGTCAATAATGCCAAGGCAATTTCTAAAGCCAATGCCTAAAGCTATTTAGTTACCGGATAACATTTTTGTACCTACAAGAACATTTTAGTTTTGGAATTCATCTAAGAGATATATATTAAGAATTTCTAGACAACAGGGTTTGAAATGTAAGTCAATGTAAGGATATGATTTGTATTCCATGTTCTTTTTCAACTTGATACAAATTGTAGAAATAGAAGAGTAATGAGAGAAGAATCAACCCTGTTCATGCCAGATAATTTACTGACCTCAGTGGCCATATTTGTTTTTGTGACTTTGTTTTGTTTTGTTTCCATGGTTTCTTGTATTATTTGGGGGTTTTTAGCAGCAAGTGGTTTTGCTTTGTTGTTCTGTTTGTAGCTGATTGTGTTCTTTCAGTATGAGAAGATTAGGAACGAGTCTGGGGATGAATTTTTCTGCCATGTCAAAACAGGAGAGACATTCTGGCAGCTACCTTCAGAACACAGTGTATGTTTCACTGCTTTACATGTGTACTTTATGGGAGGGTAGTAGGGATACAGCTGACTGGTGGGGGTGGGGTGTCACAGACAGCTGACTGGTGGGGTGGGGTGTCGCAGACAGCTGACTGGTGGGGGTGTCACAGACAGCTGACTGGTGGGGGTGGGGTGTCACAGACAGCTGACTGGTGGGGGTGGGGTGTCTTGAGACAGCTGACTGGTGGGGTATCACAGACACCTGACTGGTGGGGGTGGGGTGTCACAGACAGCTTACTGGTGGGGGTGGGGTGTTGCAGACAGCTGACTGGTGGGGTATCACAGACAGCTGACTGGTGGGGTGTCACACAGCTGACTTCTGGGGTGGGGTGTCACACAGCTGACTGGTGGGGGTGGGGTGTCGTAGACAGCTGACTGCTGGGGATTGGGTGTCACAGACAGCTGACTGCTGGGATGTTACAGATTGCAGACTACATGTGCACTTTCTGGGAGGTAGTAGGGATACAGCTGACTGCTGGGGATGGGGTGTCACAGACAGCTGACTGCTGGGGGTGGGGTGTCACAGAGAGCTGACGATTGGTGGTGGGGTCTCACAGACAGGGATTTCAGTGTCACAGATTGCAGACTCTTGGTGGTGGGATGTCACAGACAGCTGACTATTGGTTGTGGGGTATCACAGAATGCTGATTATTGGGGATGGGGTGTCACACAGACAGAGAACTTTCATGGTCACTATTCCCTTCAATATGGATCAATACTTGAAGCACCAACTCACTGCTGTACCTACTTCAAGCCTGATTGCCCTGCTGTGACATAATTGTTCTCTGCTGTATTGCTGGAAGCACCTGTCACTATGAGCTTTCCACTTTTGATTTTCCTCTAACTCTTTTTTTTTACCATTCAAGAATTGTTTGCACATGTGTGAATGGCATTACTAGCAGATGCGTCTCTTGCTGTGACCTGCTTTCTGGAAGGGTGTTCGGAAGACGGGAAATATTTCTATCATAAATGCTCGATTTAATTACATAAAAAAAAAAAAAGTCACAACTAGACAACCCTATGGAAATATTCTTGGAATCTGTACATACCGAGTATTGCACAAGCCTATATTTTATTTTGACTATTTTGACACTAGGAGAAGTTTGTAAATCATTAACTGACAAGTGAGTGGCCTTAGTTTCTTGAATATGAATGCTAATTACTGAATAGATACAGACAGCTGATTATGATGAAGTGAGTAAACAAGTGACTGTTGAGATTTGTGAACATGGTGAACAACTGATCATGTCGGGATTAGGAAACAATGAATCATTTTGAGATGTGTAAACAACTGATTGTTTTGAGATAGCTGATCATTTTGGGATAAACAAACAATTGATTATTTTGAGATAAGTAAATAACTGATCATTTCAAGATAAGTAAACAATGGATCTTTGCATGATAAGTAAACATGTGATTCATTAATTTTATGGGCACAAATTTCCAAGAAATTGGTAGCAGGATGACTTTAACTCACAGGACAAGGATGTATTTTTGTACAACAATTGAACACTGACATTCTTCGATGTGGCCAGGATATCCTCCTACAGCAGCAGAAAGGGCATTGTGAACAAGACATATTTAGTATTGCTACTACACTATCCCGATAATTTTCAAAACATTTTTCCTATTTTCTGTAAACTTAACTTTGTATAATTAACAAACATTGTGAGTGTGTTCATCCCCTGAAGCTGAAGATGTTCTTGTGTGCAGATTCTGAATTAATTCAACTGCTCTGTTTTCATTCACAGATAAAGGGATCTTTGTTTTTGTTAATAAGGAAGCTAGCACAAGAAAACGAAGAACTTGTTTAGCGATAGATATATATTTGATATAATATATATGTGTTTAGGTTATAAAAATTCATTGAAAGATTTAATTAAATGCTCTGTGTATTAGGGGTTTTCTCACAACAGGCAGGTGGTAGCGGGAAATATAGGGTCAATTAAGTGATGATAAATGTGTATATTAACATGGAGTGTTTTTGTCTCAGTATCATTCCAAATTGTATAATTACTCGACAAAATGACAGTTTCAACTGTCAATTCCACTGTAACAAAGAGAATTTCCTAACTTTTCACCAGAATAATTACTCTAATAATCTTATGTGTTATTTAAAGGGGAAATGAGGGGTGTTGGGGTAGCCCAGTGGTTAAAGAGTTTTCTCATCATGCCGAAGACCCGGGTTCAATTCCCCACATGGGCACAGTGTGTGAAGCCCATTTCTGGTGTCCTCCTGCCGTGATGTTGTTGGAATATTGCTAAAAGTGGTGTAAAACTAACCTCAATCAATCAATAAAGGGGAAATGCTTATCTGTTGGAACTTTGCCAGAAACCTACGATTTGGTTTTCAATTCCTGGCTTACTAAAGTGGTAAACGTCCTGAGACAGTATCACTTTGGGCTCTACTGCCACATTAAAATGAAACATTGCGATATAACTGGAATGCTGATAAGATTGTGTGTTAAACCCAAATCTCTCACTCCCTCTAATTGTTACTATATTTGCCACCACAACCGATGTTAACTCATTAGACAAGTAGTTTCTATTCAGTGTTTGAAGTAGCTGTGGTTCTCTACCTACATTGATGCATTTCTCCTTGTCAGACTGATCAGTGATCATTCTCCAAGCCCAGTACACAATTTAGGATATTTGACGATAAATCTGAATTTAAAGTTAAACCTATATGCTTTCCTGTTTTATATGTGGGACATTTGATGAATGTCTGGAGTGTGTATTAAGAGCTTGAAAGAATTGTGAATAAATTATACTCTGCCACATTTGATGCTTTTTTTCCACACATTGAGCTCTCCTGCTTTTAGCAATAGAGCACTGCATTTTCTAACCTTTTTCTCATTTTAAGGATATATTAAGATTTATGTCTTCAGTAATCATCAGCTATAGGGAGAAATAGTTCCATGTCTTATAAAACTAAATGATCTTTAAACTAAATGTTATGACTGTGGATGGTAAAGAAAGCATGTTAACTAATGATAGTTTGTGTAGTGTTACGATGTTGTACAGTACAGGTCTGTGTAATGTATTTGTGTAATACATCTAGAGAAGTAATATGGAATAAATGAATGTCCTCTGACTTGGGAACAAGACTTTTTCAGTGCTGCTCTTTGTTTCAGTTACGAGTTCATAATGGCGAAACAGTGGACGAGAATCGGAACCGACAGATGAGCCAATCAATGAGGATATCGAAGGCTAAGTCGCTGTGCGAGGGTATGGACTTCATGAAGGGAGCCAACTTCGCTGCCAAGTCTTCCACGCTACCACCAAGCTTTTCCTACACAAACAGTTTATCGGTAATGTCATATTCCACTTACCATGGTACCAACAGATTAAACTGTAGCTTCCAGATTGAATGAATGATTTTCTATGAATGATGACCAAGTGGATGGAATGATTGGTGGTGATTTATACCTGTAAGATGAAAGATTCGGGACATCATTTGATGTAGACATTTCAGGCCTGGGCCCCGTTTCACAAAGCTCTCGTAAGCCTAAGATCTCGTAACTTTCCTCGTAGCATTCGTACCTCCTATACTGTAACATCGGGTACGTCGCTACAAGAAAAGTTACGAGAACTTAGGCTTACAAGAGCTTCGTGAAACGAGGCCCTGGTATCTCATCTGTCAAGCTCCTCACAGTGACAGCCTGTGCGCAGAGCTCTGTCACTGCCACCACCAATAGCTCCTCACAGCAACAGTCTGTTCATGCAGCTCTCTGTACTGTAGCTCCCACCAGTCACAACACCACACACCTGTGAAGATCCTGGTAAGAATGGATCTTCAGTAACCCATGCGTGTCGTCAGAGGTACTAACGGGATCGGGTGGTCAGGCTCGCTGACTTGGTTGACACATGTCATCGTATCCCATCAGATCGATGATCATGATGTTGATCACTGGATTGTGTGGTCCAGATTTAATTAGTTACAGACTGCTACCAGTAAAAGCACAGCACACAACAGTCCGTTCATAGCGACAACCAGTCACAGAACCATCAAGTGACAGCCCCGAACTCCCCACACCACCAGTCACAGCTCCCCACAGTCCCAGAAGACCTACAACCATGTATAGAGTTGGCTAAACTTTGATAATTGTTCTCACACAAAATACTTTCATTTCAACTGTCACGTAATTGGTTATGTAAGGGGAAGATTGGTGCTTTTTTTTTATCAGGGAAATAGAAAGTTTATTGTGAACTTTTTCCTGTGTCACGAAATACTATTCATTAATGGCGGTATGCACACAAGCAATGATGCTGGGAGGTGTTACAGGCAGGAACGGTGCTTGCTCACGCCTGTCAAGGGAGGTAACCCTTTTCCTAAGTATATTCATCACATGTGTATAATATCTTAATTTCTTAAGAAATATAAGCATACCAATGAAGGTTAATGTATTTTTCTGTGAATGAGAGTTGGGTTTATATTTTAATGCACATTTTTTTATTTTGTTTTTATTTCATGGAAAACATATTTTGGAGAAAACGTTAATTTGCAGCAGATAAATTAAGTTTAAAGGAATGAGTGGCCATCAGCAGGGACTGAGCATTTAGTTTTCCCATCTGAGTTGAATGAAAGTGTACACTCACTAGAAGTTCGCATCCAAATGTCATTACATACAAGTCCAAAACAAGCTGTCTACAAGTCGTGTTAGAAGCTGTTGTCTTCTCGTGTACGTGGAATATATTGATGTAGCTTGTGAAAATACCCACCCAGGGTGCCGTTCCATGTAACCTATGTTACTCATGTTAAAAAGTACTCAGTTTTACAGTCTCTATCCTAAGATTGCTTTTTTGCTGGGAACTAGGGCTTCTAGCCATAACTCTCGGTTTCAAAACACTGAGACTTTGTCTGACACTTGCCACTTCCTGTGCTCATGGAAATGAGGAAGAGGACAGAATTGCCTGTAGAGAGGTCCTGGCTAGCTATTCTCGAAACGTTTGTAGCCCTACGAACTTCTTAAGCCCATTCTTAACACATTGGCTATGATCAAAGTTACGAATTCTTAGGGCTACGAACGTTTCGAGAATAAGGGCCCTGGTCATTTACAGTGCATGTACAATGAACACAGAATCTATGTTGGACCAAAACATTCGACAGTATAGTTTCAGTTGAAAGCTCTGCTGTAAGAGGTACACAAATAGATTTTACGTTTACGTATTCCAAGAAAGCATGTATTTGGCAGCCTTGAAAAATCTGTAAATTTCTATAAATGTTGAAAAGCCCCAAAATGCACTAAAATACCTTACATTTCCTGATAATGTTTGTAGTCCTTAAACATCTATATGCTATAAAAAGGCCTAAAATTATATTAATTGCCTCAAAAAGGCCTTGAAGTAGGGCTAGCACTTTTAACTTATTAATTGTTCATTATTGTTTTGTCAAGAAATGTTTGATGAATCGTTCATCAATGATTAATCAATAAGCCAACCAATATATAATACTGATACAGTTTTATATATGTACAATAGTGACCCATTTTGTTCGATTCCCCACATGGTTACAATGTGTGAAGCCCATTTCTGGTGTCCCCCGCCGTGATATTGCTGGAATAGTGCTAAAAGCGGCGTAAAACTAAACTCACTCACTGGCTGTAACATTATTTGATTATGTCTAAGTACAAGATACATGCTTGTGTCCAATTTGGTGATGGTGAGAGCTGAAATATGTGTGTACTCGGACAGGAAATGTGATGTGTGTTGTGTTAATGGGTGGGGATATACTACTCGGCTTATGAAAGTAAAATATTTGGTATTTCCTTGATACTCAGAACTGATACTAATATGTCAAGTGCATATATAAAACACCACATACCTGATCCATATAAAGGTTGAGTAGTATTCAAAGTGTTGGGTAGGTACAGTTACCATGGTAAAAGAGAAGATTCATTATGTCGAAAGTTATAAAACTTGCTATTTGTGAAAGTAATACACGCCATTAGACTTTTAAAAGTACTTGTGGATACTAAACTAAATTCTATGGTAAGTGATATTACCTTGTTTAGTATGGAATGCTAGGCTGAATTCTATTGTAAGTGATATTACCTTGTTTAGTATGGAATACTAGACTGAATTCTATGGTAAGTGATATTACCTTGTTTAGTATGGAATGCTAAACTGAATTCTGTTGTAAGTGATATTACCTTGTTTAGAATGGAATACTAAACTGAATTCTATGGTAAGTGATATTACCTTGTTTAGTATGGAATGCTAAACTGAATTCTCTGGTAAGTGATATTACCTTGTTTAGTATGGAACACTAGACTGAATTCTATGGTAAGTGATATTACCTTGTTTAGTATGGAATACTAGACTGAATTCTATGGTAAGTGATATTACCTTGTTTAGTATGGAATACTAGACTGAATTCTATTGTAAGTGATATTACCTTGTTTAGTATGGAATACTAGACTGAATTCTATGGTAAGTGATATTACCTTGTTTAGTATGGAATGCTAGGCTGAATTCTATGGTAAGTGATATTACCTTGTTTAGTATGGAATACTAGACTGAATTCTATTGTAAGTGATATTACCTTGTTTAGTATGGAATACTAGACTGAATTCTATTGTAAGTGGTATTACCTTGTTTAGTATGGAATACTAGACTGAATTCTATTGTAAGTGATATTACCATGTTTAGTATGGAATACTAGACTGAATTCTATGGTAAGTGATATTACCTTGTTTAGTATGGAATACTAGACTGAATTCTATTGTAAGTGATATTACCTTGTTTAGTATGGAATACTAGACTGAATTCTATGGTAAGTGATATTACCTTGTTTAGTATGGAATACTAGACTGAATTCTATGGTAAGTGATATTACCTTGTTTAGTATGGAATACTAGACTGAATTCTATTGTAAGTGATATTACCTTGTTTAGTATGGAATACTAGACTGAATTCTATTGTAAGTGATATTACCTTGTTTAGTATGGAATACTAGACTGAATTCTATTGTAAGTGATATTACCTTGTTTAGTATGGAATACTAGACTGAATTCTATTGTAAGTGATATTACCTTGTTTAGTATGGAATACTAGACTGAATTCTATGGTAAGTGATATTACCTTGTTTAGTATGGAATACTAGGCTGAATTCTATGGTAAGTGATATTATCTTGTTTAGTATGGAATACTAGACTGGATTCTATTGTAAGTGATATTACCTTGTTTAGTATGGAATACTAGACTGAATTCTATGGTAAGTGGTATTACCTTGTTTAGTATGGAATACTAGACTGAATTCTATGGTAAGTGATATTACCATGTTTAGTATGGAATACTAGACTGAATTCTATGGTAAGTGATATTACCTTGTTTAGTATGGAATACTAGACTGAATGCTATTGTAGGTGATATTACCTTGTTTAGTATGGAATACTAGACTGAATTCTATGGTAAGTGATATTACCTTGTTTAGTATGGAATACTAGACTGAATTCTATTGTAAGTGATATTACCTTGTTTAGTATGCCCACTGACTTGTTTGTTTGACTGTTTTCATGATGCATGAATATTTTGTCATCACTTGATAACAGCAGATGTGTGAAAGTCAGCATATTGTTACCACTGTCTCATTACAAAACAGTTACAGAGAAAGTTGTGCTTTGCCATTGCCAGTGTGGCAATGGATTCTTGTCCTGGGTGGTTGTGTACCTTCAGTGTCTGGAGGTTTACTTGCTGTTTTACAGCAGTTATATACAAGACGTATATACTGCTTGAAGTAAGTGACTAACATCCCACTCTTCTATATTACTTTTGTTGTTGCCATGGCAACAGTAATATGTAAGAAGTGGATGCTGATATGCAATTTGTGCGTTTTGTTATTATGGGACAGATTTGTTGAGACTATGGGACAGAAATCTCTTGCCGTGTTATTTCTAGGAATATAGTACATATATATTTTGTGTGTGTTATTCTTAGCTTGGGGATAAAAATACTTTCTAAAAAGAATGAAAATATAAAAATAAACTTATTAATTTATTCTGTGTTTGAAGGATTTGTGAAAATATTATTGCCTACTTTAAATCTAAACCTTTCAAGTGGACCACGGATGATATAATGACCATGGTCTTTGTTGTCTCGTCTGACCAGGTCAGGCATGTTTACCTGTGTGTAAGTCCCGCTGTCCAGAAACCCACAATCCTGTTGCCTTACACCTTGACGATGTTCACTTCCTGTTCAAGTGCTCCAAGCAAACCCCTCCACAAACACACCATAATGATTGTAGTACTCAATGCCCTGAGTATACAATAATGTCACAGCATGTCATCAGCTTTGCCCGTCTCCCTGTCCATTTAATGAAGTATGCTTTCTTCACAACCATCAACACAACTTCAGTGCTTTCATGCTGTTTCCAATGAAAGTGTCTTTGGCGTCCTTAACGCGATTGGATGTGTGGCTACCTCTAGAGTTGTTCCGGTCATGCTTTCCTTCCATGCTTTCCAGTCATGCTTTCCTTCCATGCTTTCCGGTCATGCTTTCCTTCCATGCTTTCCAGTCATGCTTTCCTTCCATGCTTTCCGGTCATGCTTTCCTTCCATGCTTTCCAGTCATGTCTTCCTCTGGTCATGTCTTCTCACCACAATCTTGTGCATGGCCTCAGGTCCTTTCTGCTGTATGTTGACGTCTGCTGTCGCCCATTAACTGGCTCCTACTCATGGCCCTGTTGGCATCTCATGTTTGGAAGTACATTTTTGCAAGTTCTTCCAATCTTTGCTTTTTCTGATGTTTGTTATGTCTTGCCAACAGAATATGTTCCTCTTGCTTCGAAATGCCATCTTTTGGTCATCTCCTGCATTTGTGAGTGCTTCTGTCTTCCTGCCATTGGCATATGCTTTCCTGACATCCTTTCATGTTTTGACCATCTCACCTTTCTGTCTGTGTGCTTGCAATACCTTCCTCCCTGACATCTGCATTCAACCATTTTCTGATGCATTGTCCAATTGCAGCACTGTGGAATTTGCTTTCAGCTGAATTCACCTGAAGCTTCTTGCATCCTTGAATGCTGACCCTGACCAACTTGCCTGGCAAGTCACCTGCTTCTGACGTCTGCTTCCTGTTTGAGGATGTTTATGTCCTGTTCCCTTCAGGCATTGCCTGTTGCAGCATTGTCACTGTCAGACTCTCCTTCTCCTCCAGCCCGAGATTTGGTCATAGGTCTCAGCACAAGAGTCACTACCAATCTTGAATGACATGATCCAGAAATTACTGTCATCTACATTTGAACCTAGCATATATGGACGGACACTTGCGCTTTCTCATGTAAAGCTGATAAGGGATGAGTACAGATTTCTTGAGCTGTGAATGGAATGACATAAGGCCGCTAGAGCTGAATAAGGGATGAGTGTAGGCTGTTAGAGCTTGGAAGGAATGACTTTAGGCTGGTACAGCTGTGAAACTTGATGAGTGTGTGGCTGGTAGATCTGAGAAGGGGATGAATATAGGCTCCTTAGACTGAATAAGGGATGGCATAAGGCTGCTAGAACTGAAAGGGATGAGTATGGGCAGAGACTATATGAATTATTGTCTGGTCTCTTGTATGGGTTGCTAGGACTGTGAATCAGATGAGTGTCTGCACAAGCACAACTCAGGACGAGCATGAAATGGGGATAAATCTTTTACTAAATATATGCTCTGTGTGAGTGAGGGATTGTTGTCATTAGTCAGCTAGTTTGAAATGAGAGAAAAGTGATCTAGTTGTGGATGTAAGATCTGTTAATGGTGTTCAGGTTTTAGTAGTCAGTGTCTTTGTGCCAAATGAATCAACAAGTGATTGGATCCTGTCCTGCACCAACTGCAAACTCCGTCCACAACACCATCTTGCAGGCTGTCTCAAACAAGATGGCCGCTTCTATTTCCTTCTCACTCCTGATGGCACTGTTTCCAACAAGATGGCTCCTTCATTCTGGAAGGCACAGCAAACACCGTTATTTTCTCAGCCATTCTGACTCCTCAGTTTGTGGTTTCAGGCAAATGACATTCCTCAATCTACCCAGCCACAGCCAGTGTCGCCCACCATTAGGTTTGATGTAAGTAGCACAAGGCCTTTTCTGATACTACCTGCCTGACGACTGATGTCCTGCATGGACAAGTGTACATGGAGATATATATGTGCCTTGACAGAATGAGCATGTCATTGTATCATTTTGTATGGCTGTATTAATGTTTTAGTTGGTATACGAGACTGATCAACAAAATGTATTAAATTCTGAAAATCAAAATGGCCTTTCACAAAGGGAAATTCTTTTTGCTGACACTGTTTTGCAATTAATTGAACTGAAGATAAACATTTTATTTATTTTAATCACAATTTTCATTGGAAATGATGTTTAAATTATAAAAAAATCATTATTAAAAAAAGAGAAAAAGAATCATCATTTTTTTAAATCTTTTCACAGAACTTGTGCTCTTGTGATGATGTGACCAAAGATTATTTTTTCATTCATTAGAAGAACTTGAAGTTAAAAATCATCAAAGCAAATTTCATCAATCTACATTTTTGGCCAAAATGAGGTAAACCAACTTAATAAGATAAAAGGCTTGATACTGTTGTGCATGGTATTGTTGATGCTCCATGGCATATTGTATTGTCACCTGATAATATGTTTCTGTATGTGAGACATGTATCATTAACAAGTATCCTGTGATGTTGTTGATGTTCTGTTAATGACCTTGATGGTTTCGACCACGTAAATGAGATCGCTACACACCAGCAGATGTGTGCATCTTGGGCCTGTGTCTCGTGATGGTATTCAGAGTTGCCTCCCTTGAATGTTGTCATGCTCTCCATTCTAAAGACATTGGTTTGTTCTCTTCCATTTGGAAGCATTGTCATTATTGTTGCATTGAATATTTAATGTATTTCATGTCATGAATTTAGACTGAAAGCACCTTCATCATGTTCATGCTTGACGTGATCACACACATAACCTAATGCTCCTCCCATCGAAATTGTTGTCTTGTTTGTCTGTTTTAGAACAGACTTACATTTTCTATACACTGGAACCATTCTCATTTACTAAAACATGTTTACATTGTAATCATCTCACTTTCTTCTAATTGAAAATATACTTCCTCTTCAAATACTGCTTTCATGGAAACATACGTCTTTTCTTAGAAGACTGTATCATGCTCTTTGATGATGAAAACTTGCAAACATACTTGTCTCCATTGCCAGGCTCTTGCAGCCACACTGTTCTCAACTCTGAACACTGATGTGCCTCATGTGTTCATAATGAAGAACACATCATTCTGGTCTGCATTAAAATCACCTTCCTACCCCGGTGTCCTATTATGCAACCAGGGTTTGAAATTCTTGGTAACAGAGTGACACTGGTGCTGTAATAATAGCACTAACAGACATATGGTTAATATATGCTAAAGGTCCCTGAAAATCACACTTTGAAATCTCTCCTTTTTGGGGGACAAAAAATATATTATTAAGATGTTTCAGAGATGAACCCAGTGATTCTTTGTGAATATCAACTTGACAAACATATGGAAATAAACACATGAAAATTGTTAAAGTACAGGGCCCCGTTTCACATACATACTATACTGTAACATAGGGAGTATGAATGCTACGAGAAAAGTTACGAGATCTTAGGCTTACGAGAGTTTTGTGAAACGGGCCCAGTATTATAAAATATATATCAACTGATTCAGAAGCTTAAGACACCATTATCAAACATCAAAAGGAAGAACTGTTTATGGTGTTTGGCTTGTGGCAAAATGAGCAAAAAGTTCAGCAAGAGTAATTCTTAAGTCCCAAAGAGCACATCTGAATATTGTTCCTGGACCTGATCGAGTCCATGCACCCACTATCCCTGGACCCGATTCTATCCTTTGACCCTCTGTCCCTGTACATGATCCAATCCATGGATCCTCTGTCCATGGTCCTGATCCTACCCCTGTACCTGATTCTTTTCCTACATCCTTTGACCTTGCCTCTGATGCTTTCCTTGGATCCCTGTATCTGAGCATGTGGTTGTACGAGCCATGCTGGCTCCCTGCTTGTAGCTTGTCCCTGCATGGCGGCTGTGTTTGTTCTGATTGGCCAGTTTATGGTTTCAGACTGGTGATACACCTCCCTCCAGCAAACCTAGGCCATCCTCGCCTACCATTAGGTTTGATGTAAGTAAGCCTGTGAGTGTACACTCAAACGCCTTGTGAGGTTTGTGTGTATGTATAGTCTCTATACGGATGTGCATTATACTCTTTAGTTCCAAGATATTACTTTGTAAGGCATCAACCATTTTGTCTGTGGGCAGGAACACAGAGAACGTTATATTTGTGAATGGACATGTGTACCTGCCATCCTTGTTTGTTTATTGTTTGAAGCTGCACTTATATTCCAGGGCCTAGATTTTCGAAGCTCTCTTAGCGATAAGATAGTTGTAAGCGCCATACATTAACATTAACTTACGACAATCGTAGCGCTAAGAGAGCTTCGAAAATCTAGGCCCAGCTGTGTAATGACAGCTTGTAAATATTCAAGTCTGGACACGACAGTCCAGCGGATGATATCATTAGCATCTATCTATGCTGTTAGGATACGACCTGACCTTGTTTGTTGCCTCCTACGACAATAATGGGTTGCCTAAGATCATGGAGCACTTACATCCTGGTAACATCCTTATGTTTCAGTTTATCCCTGAGAGGAAGCAACCGTATCCTAGGTTAGAATTGGTGACCATCAACATATATTGCCAGTGAAAAGTGGGCATTTGGTAGTCAGACTTGGTGTGCATGGCATTGTGCCTCATCAGTATTGATTGTTGCTCAAATGACAGTCACTGGATTGTCTGGTCCAGACTTATTTACTGATCACTGTCATATAGTTGGAATTTTTCTAAGAACATCATTAAACAACAAACAAACCTGAACAAAATGTTTTGAAACTTTTGTGTATTGAATATGTTAAAAAAGGAAAAATTAATCCACATCTTGCCATCTCTCACCAAAGACAAAATGGTTGGTGCCTCGTATGCAACCTCTAGGTAGATTATTCATCCAACTGTGGAGAGTGGAGTCAGCTAAACAGCGCTGCATGCACGACGTGTTGTGTGGAACAGTCAGCAATGGTGTGTTAGCTTTTGTGTCATATCTTCTATAATGATACAGAATACCAGACTGAAACAAACTTTCACTTCATATGTACTAGTTGGCTAGATATTTAACTGTTGCACTCATAGTCCCCAAATACATTAAGGACTTCTGACCCTGGGACATGAACAACACTTTCTTATTCATTGTATTTAGCTTGTAGCTACATTTTTAGCTGTTGACACGCAAGGAAATCAGGGACATAAAATGCTTCCCATACTGGGACCAGAACGGAACTTCCTTATCCGCCATATTAAGCTTGTAGCTACATATTTAGCTGTTGACACTCAGGGAACTGAGGGGCATAAAATGCTTCCCATACTGGGACCAGAACGGAACTTCCTTATCCGTCATATTTAGCTTCTAGCTACATATTTAGCTGCTCACAGCTGAGGGGCATAAAATGCTTTACTGGGACCAGAGCGAATGCTTGTTGACACTCACAGAACTGAGGGGCATAAAATGCTTCCCATACTGGGACCAGAACGGAACTTCCTTATCCGTCATATTTAGCTTCTAGCTACATATTTAGCTGCTGTCACTCAGGGAACTCAAGAGCATGAAATGCTTCCCACCCTGGGACCTGAATAAAATGTCCTTATCCATCATATTAAGCACCTAGCTTAAGCTAACACTTATGGATCTGTTCCACAGGAAATAACTCAAAAGTTAGTTTCTCTGATTTTTTAACAATTAACTCGCAGTCATTTGACATCACCAGCTTGTTTTTTAATTATCTCAAAAACTAATAAGACAATACACGTGGTTTCATATATTTTGCTTAAAAGTTCTTTTTTTTTAAGCTTCTTTTGCAAGATATTACTTAATCAAGTTTTTAGACAATAGAAGTTATGTTATTCTAGTAATTGAAATTCTGTTCATCTTGTTTCATTCATATAATTTTATTATGAGGACAGTGATTGTTATATTAATTTTTTAAACTCAGATGTAAAATATTGCATTCTTTTCTTAGACTCCGGGACTTATAGTTATTGATCCGTTGATACAAGTCGTATAGGTATACTTGGATACATGATACTGGTTCTATTGGTATACCTTGCTACAAGTTGTATTGGTATACCTGGATACAAGTCATATCGTTATACCAGGATATAACTCATATTGATATATCTGAAGACAATTTATATTGGTATGCCAGGATATAACTCATATTGATATATCTGAAGACAAGTCATATTGGTATAACTGGATACAAGTCCTAGCCCTTAACAGAAGTATGCTTCAATACTGTTTGTATTGCTATGCCCAAACCTTTGTACATATACCCGGATACAATTTGTATCTGTATGTCTGGATGCTGTGACTATAGCTGATTAATAACTGTGTTATAACATGTCCGATATATTCAATACTGACTGGTTGCATGCATTGTATACAACATGCTTGTACTAGGTGTGGATATATAACCTGAATGTTATCAACATTGTACAGATTATAAACGTTGTATTCAGTGTGTTGTACAATGTGACCATGAGACTGCATTGTTCTGTTGTTTTTGAGAGGATGTTGTTGATAGTACTGATTTCCTTGTGATATTGTTCTGTGTTGTATGTCGTATTTTCAGCCAGATTTGGATATGGTAAAAGTGTCAAAATAGTTTAGCTTTTCAGAATAATGTATGATTTATTGGCTTCCTGTTTTGAAGCGGACATTGCAATGCTTATATATGGTGAATTTGTGATAATATCTTGCCAATGTTTTATACTTTCACAACGTAACATTTGTAACATTGAAATTTGAGTTATCTAATGTTATACCCTAATCTGCATTCATGGGGTGTTAATTACAGTTAATCTCATTTAGTCTGTGTTTATCACTGTTTATGACTGTTTGTTTCTAGGATCAGCTGACGGGAACACTGAACAAAGCCAAAATAGTTGATGTTGGTAAACGAGTCAAGTAAGTCCTCCATCTGGTTCAGAGATTCTTCTTTGGGATTTTTGGGGTCGGTGGGGTAGCCTACTGGTTAAAGCGTTGGCTCGTCACGCCGAAGACCCGGGTTCGAATCCCGACATGGGTACAATGTGTGAAGCCCATTTCTGGTGTCCCCTGCCGTGATGTTGCTGGAATATTGCTAAAAGGGGCGTAAAACCAAACTCAGTCAGTCAGTCTATGGGATTTTGTGTCTGTCATATCTGCTGTGGTGAACCATTTGGACAGCCAAGAGGAGGACGTCTACCAAACTGGAGATAATTCCACCAATACTTTTCGCAAAAGTGTATAATGGTGGAAAAAAGGTCAAGTTTTTCACTGTGAGAGAAAGGACGTATCAGTCGTTCTAGATCAGGTTGAAATCGAAAAATACCTCATATTGCGTACTAGAAACTTATAAGATACTTACCATCCTGAGCCTAGATTTTCGAAGCTCTCTTAGCGCTAAGGTAGTCGTAAGTTAATGTTCATATATGGCACTTACGACTATCTTAGTGCTAAGAGAGCTTCAAACATCTAGGCCCTGAAACTTATCCATCAACCAAGCCAACATTGTTTATAAACAACAAGGGGCAGACAATTCTAATTACTCACTGCCACCGTCAGCACTCAACATTTTACTGGCACTTCAATTACTTGCTACCACTGACAGTTACTCCAGGTTAATCTTCAACAGCCTGTACTGCTACATTGCTAACAGTTACTCCAGGTTAATCTTCAACAGCCTGTACTGCTACATTGCTAACAGTTACTCCAGGTTAATCTTCAACAGCCTGTACTGCTACATTGCTAACAGTTACTCCAGGTTAATCTTCAACAGCCTGTACTGCTACATTGCTAACAGTTACTCCAGGTTAATCTTCAACAGCCTGTACTGCTACATTGCTAACAGTCACTCCAGGTTAATCTTCAACAGCCTGTACTGCTACATTGCTAACAGTTACTCCAGGTTAATCTTCAACAGCCTGTACTGCTACATTGCTAACAGTTACTCCAGGTTAATCTTCAACAGCCTGTACTGCTACATTGCTAACAGTTACTCCAGGTTCATCTTCAACAGCCTGTACTGCTACATTGCTAACAGTTACTCCAGGTTAATCTTCAACAGCCTGTACTGCTACATTGCTAACAGTTACTCCAGGTTAATCTTCAACAGCCTGTACTGCTACATTGCTAACAGTTACTCCAGCATCTTCAACAGTTACTCCAGGTTAATCTTCAACAGCCTGTACTGCTACATTGCTAACAGTTACTCCAGGTTAATCTTCAACAGCCTGTACTGCTACATTGCTAACAGTTACTCCAGGTTAATCTTCAACAGCCTGTACTGCTACATTGCTAACAGTTATAGTTATCAAGACACGACTAGTGCTGATATCTGAAGTGAATTGTACTTTTGATTTTCCTGAAATATACAACCGTTTCCTCTTTCAGGAAGAACTGGAGCCAGTCCTATGTGGTCCTCCAAGGCTCAAACATCATCTTCTACAAGGACCAGAAGGCCTCGATGCATCGACCTGGCTCCCCTCATGGCAAGCCCGATTTCATCATCAGTCTGCTTGGCGCTAAAATCAACTTCAGCCAAAACACGGAGGTCACAAGCAAGAGAAATGTCATCACGGTAATTTGGAATACAGTAGAATACTTGTATAACGAACACGGATATAACAAACTGACTGCTATAGCGAACTGTTCTAAAAGTCCCTAATAAACCTTATATTATCATATACAAAAGTGAATTGCGAACTACAGATATAACGCACTAATTTCAGAGGTCCCTTAGAGTTCGTTATAAAGGTATTTTACTATATAATTAATCACACTGTGCCCAGATCTTGTGAGACCTGTACCCCAGGCCCGAAGAAGGAACAAGTGTGTTCCTGGTTGGACAATAGATACTGTTTTGTAGATAATATGCGCCAAAATTAAAATCAGCATCCTTAATTCCAGGTTGATCTTTATTATGCCATACTTCGTCATTAATGTGATGATGATTGTGTGGGTTGTGGTGATTGTGTGGGTTAGGATGATTGTGTGGGTTGGGATGATTGTGTGGGTTGTGGTGATTGTGTGGGTTGTGGTGATTGTGTGGGTTGGGATGATTGTGTGGGTTGTTTGGTGATTGTGTGGGTTGTGGTGATTGTGTGGGTTGGGATGATTGTGTGGGTTGGGATGATTGTGTAGGTTGTGTGAGTTGTGGTGATTGTGTGGGTTGGGATGATTGTGTGGGTTGGGATGATTGTGTGGGTTGGGATGAATGTGTGGGTTGGGATGATTGTGTGGGTTGTGGGGATTGCCTGTGTCATGGAGATTGTCTGGGTTGGGATGATTGCATCTTGCTGATTGTCTTGGTTGTGACAGTTGCCTGGGTTGCAATGATTGTCCTGGTTGGGATGATTGTTTGGGTCAGGATGATTGTCTGTGTCATGGAGATTGTCTGGGATGTAATGATTGTCTGGGTTGTGTAGATTCTCTCAGTCAGGATGATTATCTTGGTCAGGATGATTGTTTGGGATGTGATGATTGTCTGGGTGGGTGGTGCATACACTACAGTTTGAAAGTCCATATGAGATGACATCTCAACACTCGGTTGATTACGCTTCAGTTGACGGCCAGCAGCAACACCCAGTACCTGCTGCAGTGTGATGACGAAGCAATGTCCAGAAACTGGTTCTTCCGTCTCAAGGTCGCAGCAAATGACCTTAAGGAAGATGTAGGTTCACAGCCATCAACCAGTAAAGGTGGCAAGGTAGAATTCTATACAGATCGTCCATGGTCATTTTATTGTTTTTGGACCAGGTCACTTGCTTGACTCTATGGTATTGTAATGTGACGATATGGACCTTAGCATCAACTTCAAACCACACACAAAATGAAAAAAGTGTTTTGAGGTTTAAATCTTTTCATATTCCTTGAAACCTGAGCTTTGTTGCTTGTCACCAATATTCAAGCTTTATCAGGCAGCCTGAAAATAATTTATTCTAGACTAGACGAACCTGTGATTGATAGTATGAGCAACCCACCAAGTCACCAATAATTACCACTCGATCCAGTTAGTCAACTCTTACTGCCAGCATGGGTTGTCGAGAACCTGAAGTAAGCAGGGATCCCTACACAGGCAGGAAACTAAAGGCGTTAAATGGTGTTAAATGTCATGTGACGTGAGTTATTCATGCTGGTCAACATTTTCAGGATGAGAAGAAACTAGAGAAGAAACCAGAGCCAAGTCCCACAGACAAGAGCAGTAAGTCTTCATCGGGTTGTAGTAGAGATCATTCCAATATTGTAGCACCTAATATAGAAATGACAAGGCTGAAACACGCCAAGGTGAATTCTCTTTATCCGCAATGTCATTTTTTCATTCATGTTATTTATTAATTATATACTTGAATCATTGTTCAGAATGTCATTTACAGAAGTAGCTTCAGAAACAACTTAGTGGTCGATCATTTCATGATATTTTGGGGAGATGAGTCAAGGACTTTGGAGGCTGGATTTTTCCCCGTCTACATCGGCAAAACCAGACGTCAATATTACTCTTTAAAGAATTCCCATTTGAAAATTTTATTACATACAAAAATTATGTATTCTGCAGATCCTTGGCCTACTTTCTGTTTCACAAAAGAGGCATTCTCATTCCTGTTTAGAGAATACTTATCGTCCAGGGCCTAGATTTTCGAAGCTCTCTTAGTGCTAAGATAGTCTTAAGTTAATGTTAATGTATGGCACTAAAGTATCTTAGCACTAAGATAGTCGTAAGTTAATGTTAATGTATGGCACTTACGACTATCTTAGCGATAAGATAGTCGTAAGTTAATGTTAATGTATGGCACTAAAGTATCTTAGCACTAAGATAGTCGTAAGTTAATGTTAATGTATGGCACTTACGACTATCTTAGCGCTAAGATAGTCGTAAGTTAATGTTAATGTATGACACTTACGACTATCTTAGCACTAAGATAGTCGTAAGTTAATGTTAATGTATGGCACTAAAGTATCTTAGCACTAAGATAGTCGTAAGTTAATGTTAATGTATGGCACTTACGACTATCTTAGCGCTAAGATAGTCGTAAGTTAATGTTAATGTATGGCACTTACGACTATCTTAGCACTAAGATAGTCGTAAGTTAATGTTAATGTATGGCACTTACGACTATCTAAGCACTAAGATAGTCGTAAGTTAATGTTAATATATGGCACTTACGACTATCTTAGCACTAACAGAGCTTCGAAAATCTAGGCCAAGGTGAGTGTGAGTACAAAAGGCTTAAAGAGAACAGGCGTCACATGTACTGCTTCGTCTCTTCCCAGTGATGAGGAGCCAGTCAGTGGACGAAGCACCAGGTATTAGCCAGGAGAGACACGCGTCCTTCAATGCCACATACTTCCGTATTCGGGACAAACTGCGCAGCCTCATCACGCGGCGACCCCTGCAGGAAGATTTGGTCAAACGAGGCATTATCAAAGGTAAAGTCACAAGGCTCTGATGTACAGTCAGCCGATAATTTTGTTGTGAAATTTCAACCCCATGGACCTTGTGTTGGAGATACAGCAGGAGTAGCAGAGGTTGGTGACTGTGTACAATGTACAGACAGTGTACAAACAGTGAACAGACAATGTGCAGTTTACAGACAATGTACAGACAGTGTACAAACAGTGAACAGACAATGTGCAGTTTACAGACAATGTACATACAATGTGCAGACAGTCATTGGACAATGTACCGTTCTCAGACAATGTACAGACAGTGTACAAACAGTGAACAGACAATGTGCAGTTTACAGACAATGTACATACAATGTGCAGACAGTCAATGGACAATGTACCGTTCTCAGACAATGTACAGACAATTGTAAATTTCTTCACAGACAATGTGCAGACAATTGTAAATTTCTTCACAGACAATGTACAGACAATTGTAAATTTCTTCACAGACAATGTACAGACAATTGTAAATTTCTTCACAGACAATGTGTAGACAATTTTAAATTTCTTCACAGACAATTTACAAACAGTGAACAATATACCGACAATGTACAGAGAGTGAACAGACATTTGTACGTATAATGTACAATGACCATACAAAGTGGTTGTAGGAAACTGTGTGTGTGTGTGTGTGTGTGTGCGTGCGTACGTGCGTGTGTTGTTTAATGCCACACTCTGCCAGATTCTGGCTGTAAGATTGTATTCCCTAGAGGTAGGTGAATAAGCAATAATTTTGATATGCCCATGTTTCAGACCGTGTGTTTGGGTCTGATCTCCGAGAGCTGTGCGCAAGAGAGCATAATACTGTACCGACGTTTGTGGTGAAGTGCATCAGTGCTGTGGAACATAAAGGTACCGCGAGCCGACCTTCAGTAGAGGAGACACCTGTTCCCAGCATGCACCTGTGTTTCCCATCTGTCCCTTCTGTTATGCTGCTGCTGCATTGAGGGGAAGACATGATACACATACACACTTTAAACTCTGACCATCTTGCCTCCACATTCACCAGGGGCGGTGGGGTAGCCTAGTGGTTAAAGTGTCCGCTCGTCACGCTGAAGACCCGGGTTCGATTCCTGCATGGGCACATTGTGTGGAGCCCATTTCTGGAAGCCCATGATATTGCTGGAATATTGCTAAAAGCGTCATAAAGCCATCCTCCCCTCTCTCTCTCTCTCTCTCTCTTTCTCTCTTTCTCTCTCTTTCTCTCTCTCTTTCTCTCTCATTCACTTTCTCTCTCTCTCTCTCTCTCTCTCTCTCTCATTCACTCACACCATGCTAAACCCCAAAATGACGCAAGTGTAGATTTCCTCAGGTACGCCTGAATTTCCCATCTATTCGTTTCTGTCTAAATTACACATTCATTGGCGGATCAAGAGGGGGGTTTCGAACCCCCCACCCCATCCCACCCCAACTTAAGACTACATTGAAGATTTTATTTTTGCGTTGGCAGAGCCAATGGGGGGTTCAGGGGGTTCGAACCCCTTGAAACAACCATCCACCCCCTTTCAAAATTCCATGATCCGCCCATGTACATTTATACATATCAGTTTCCACAACTAAGAAGAGTCTGCAGCTAGATTTAGTGGTAACTCCCAAACGTTGCCTGAACTAAGAAGAGTCTGCAGCTAGATTTAGTGGTAACTCCCAAACGTTGCCTGCACTAAGAAGAGTCTGCAGCTAGATTTAGTGGTAACTCCCAAATGTTGCCTGAACTAAGAAGAGTCTGCAGCTAGATTTAGTGGTAACTCCCAAATGTTGCCTGAACTAAGAAGAGTCTGCAGCTAGATTTAGTGGTAACTCCCAAACTAAGAAGAGTCTGCAGCTAGATTTAGTGGTAACTCCCAAATGTTGCCTGAACTAAGAAGAGTCACCCTGTATATAGTTCACTGTTTATGGTTCCCTCTGTTAATCAGGTTTGGACCATGATGGATTGTACCGAGTGAGTGGAAATCTGGCTGAGATACAGAAGTTGAGATTCATTGTAGATAAAGGTAAGATGCTACACAACCATGCTGTTGCCAGGTGTCATGATGTAACTTGGAGTTGAAGTCAATTATTATAACTTAATATATCAACAAGAACAAAACAAATCTCACAAAAGGATTATATTATCATTAACAACAAACTGACTGCCATTGTCAGCTCTGTAATGCAACAAACATGCACATTCCAAAAATATCACTGCCTCTGTGGTGTAGTGGTTAGAGCGTCCGCCCGGAGAGCGGAAGGTCGCGGGTTCGATCCCCGACCGTGTCATACCAAAAGACGTTAAAATATGGTACTTGTTGGTCCCTGCCTGGCGCTCGGCATTAATGGGTACAACAAGGACTGGTTGGCTCGGAGTCAGTATAATGTGTCTGCGTGGGGTATTCATGCTTCACTGCGGCATGGTATCTCAGTGGGCTAGCACTATAAAACCAGCTTCAGTCTGGGCTAGTACAAGCAGCCGCACATACACATACACACGCATGCACGTCGTCATATGAGCGGAATATTCTCAAGCACGACGTAAAACCCAATTTCACCTCACCTCACCCAAAATATCAGTAAGCTGTGGTCTGCCAGTGGGTGTGGCATAATTGTTTTTTTCTTGCAATATTGCTTGGCTATCCAATGAAATGGCACAGAAAAACTTGTAAGCCTCTAGTCCTATGCCAGTTAGAGTGGCAGGTAGGTGAGGGTATCGCTTCAGCATGCACTGTGAGGTGATATTGTATAGAGAGTCTGTAGTTCAAGGTAACCATGTTTATCATTATTAGACTGTCTCTGTGTTTATTTTATTTAGTCATTGTTTCACTTTCTGGTCCACAGAGGAGACATACAGTCTGGATGATGAGAGCTGTGATATTAATGTCCTGACAGGCTCACTAAAACTTTTCTTTCGGGAACTGAAAGAACCTCTGTTTCCTTTCGACATGTTTGATAGATTCACAGCAGCCATAAGTAAGTCACTTTCTCAGTCTTGTCTGATACATTCACATCAGCCATTTGTAAGTCACTGCCTTCAACATGTGACATTCACATCGGTCATTAATGATAGATATCTTGTCAACAGATGTAAAGTGTGTGAGTGAGTGAGTGAGTGAGTTAAAATTTTAAGTCACATCGGCACAACAGATGTAAGAAATCTAGCATGAAATAAATGGATAGAACTGGAATTAGAATGTTTCTCATCTCACTCTGAAAGACAAATTGCCCTTGTTGAAAGTGGAGGTTTCATGATGAAGCAGATGTTACTGGCATCCCATGAGAACTGAAATGTTATGTGTGCAGGGAAGGAGAGGAACTCCCAGAAGCTGCAGGCTTTCAAGGAACTGGTGTCGGAGCTTCCAACATGCAACTATCACACTATGAAGGCCCTCTTCCAACATCTCACAAAGTAAGTTCATCCAGGTTAGGCCCCAGGGGGCGTTGTTGTGTTGCCATAGTTACAGATAGATCCAAGGGGCTTTTTAAGTGTTGCCATAGCTACAGGTTTGGTTCAGGGTAATGTTGCCATTGTTGCAAGACAAAACCAGCCAAGATTGTCAAGTCGCCATAGTAACAAAACAGATTCAAGGAGAAATTCAGAAGTTGCCATAGTAACAGTCCTGATCCCAGAGAAAATTGAGCAGTTGCCATAGTAACATTAAAGATCCCAGTGGAGATTGTTATGTTGCCTTTGTTACACTTTTGATCCCCGGGGAGATTGTCTCATGATTTAAGGCTGTACAATTACCTCATTATTTGAGCAGAGAGGGATGTGTCCAGTCTGATGGTGTCCACTGTTGTTACAGCGTCATCGCTCACAGCAAGGAGAACCGCATGCAGACACAGAACGTGGCGATAGTGTTTGGTCCGACGTTGATGTGGTCGAACGGGGAGGCTGGCGGCATGGCGGTGATGACCATCATTCAAAGCAAAGTGGTAGAATATGTCCTGCTGGAGTATGACAGACTGTTTCCTTAGCCAATCACATCACAGGTTACAAGACCTTTGGCCAATCAGTCTCAAGACAGTCATGTGTCATTAGTTTTGGAATTAGTGACAGGTAGACAACTGAGTTCATTCTGCCGAGAGTGTAATGGTTGTAGAAACAGACACACACATGTGTCATGGTGAATGCTTGTTATTGAAAATAGATCCCAGGATCCCAGGATCGTTCTTAGGCTGACTTTGAGAAAGCATTACACTGTTTAGTTAGTGACAGTTGTAAGTGTTTCATGTTTCAAAGTATTCCATACTTCAGAAATCGACGAGTTCTTCCACATTAAACCTTCATTGTTGGGTTTTTTGATTCAACACTGTTGGTGAGATGAGTGTTAAAATGATTTATACCATATCAGAGGAAGGGTTTCTCTACGAATATGTCATATTGTTTAACACAGCTCCGACACAGCATGGGTTATTGTCACAGCATCTGCACTGTAATCTGCCGAGAATTATATTCAGATAATCTATACTCCCAGGTACCCATTAGACAGGTATCTGTACAACTAGGTACCCATTATGCAGATAAATTTACTCCAGGCTTCCCACTGTACAGATAACTGTCCTCCCGGGTACCCACTATACAGATGACTGTACTCCTGGCTACCAAGTATACAGATGAATGTACTCCCGGGCACCCAATATACACATAACTGTACTCCCAGGTACCCTTAGATGACTGCACAGGGATGCTGTTACTAGAGCTGTCATGATTCACTGAAGAATGGATGTATCATGGTACATGGGATACGTAGGATATGGGATACATGATACTTGATACCAGTCATGTGATATGTGATACAAGTTTAACATGATACTTGGGTTATAAGATTTATGTGATAAATGTTATGTGTGATAAGTGATATATTTAACAATGTTAGAAATATAACACTCACAGTGACATATCCCATAACACTGATGCTTACGTACCCTATATGCATAGTTATTGCAGCTCTTGTACACATACCCTGTGCAGAAAGTCTGGCTATCACCAAACTGCGATAAACCCATGTTTCTGTAGGTGCGTCCTTCCTCGCATGTTGTTGGGGAAATAGTACTAACCTCTCGATTGTTACGATATATATTATGTATAGAGCTGTTGATTGTACCAGTGGCCCGTTGATCTAATCATGCCTGCCATATTGAAGCGGTCACACACATCACAACGAAGATGACCCCTTGTTGACTGGAATTCTGGGAAATTAGTGTCAGCAATAAGTTTTGATTTTTAAACATTCCAGATATTCTAAACAGATAACTCTGATTAAAATGATGTGAACATTCCAGACAAATGCTAGATATAGCAGATATAGTTTTGGACTATTCGAGTACGGCAAGGTATGTTTCATAAGACCAAAGCAAATTCTTTACATGGATCAGCCTGTCTTGAATTTTATGAATATATGAAACTTAATAGTGCTGTCAATTGATTAAAAGTGCAGATGTCAGCACCTTCTGCATAAATTGTTGTTTAAATCTTTAATTTATGTATGTTAACCAAGAACCACAGAGTTTTTCTGGAATCATGGTTGTACTGAATTCTACTGTTTAAATATTATCATCCGATTTAAAACGATTTCACATTTAGACAGAAGAATATTGATCTACAAACAACCTGCTCAAATAAACATATTTTTATTAAAGAGAATCACAGAGAATGTGAGGTAATGTGTTTTTAGAAATAATCATTTGGATAATTGAGTCGATGTTGATCTGCGGAGGATTTAGATGACAAACATTTAAGCCATGTCTTGGCTATTGATTGAAACTTATGATTGTACATAACTTTTGTAAATCACTACGCATGTAGGTGTTGATCACATATATAATTGTGCAATATGCTTAGTTGACAGGTACAACATTTCTAGGGTGGTAGCACCAACGTCAGGGCAAGTTCCAACACACACCTGAAACATGAGCTGTTGATAAAGATATGAAGAACTAACGCCTATCATGCCTGAGATTCACGATATCTTGTTACCCTGAGAGGGTGGTGGGGAGCAGTTGTTTAGGGCGCTGCAAGTTTACTTTGCAGAGTTGTGTCCCTTGAACACACCAACACCATACCTGTGGTCATGGGTTTCACTAAAGTGGTAAACATGTTACACCTACATCAGTTTGGGATTTAAACCCAACTCACTCACTAATACCTTAATTATCAATGCTTATGTCAGCAGCATTTATTCGAATCTTTTACTCTGTGACACTTCTTGGCGATAAGGTCTGCATGGCTACCAGTGACTACATAGGACGTGTGACGATCAAAGTTCTCAATTTCCAAGATGATTCTGAGCAGTACATCTACTGTGCCTCATGTGTACTGGGGTGGAAATAACCCATTGCCCGAGTCCAGTGTTTTTTTCTGTTGGGCAAGCAAATTTGTATATCACACTGTACCGGTGTCCAGTTGACTTTCCAATATTAATTATGTTGTTTATTTAAAAAATCAACAAGAAAACGTCCGGTATAGTGGAAAAATTATCAGGGCAAGTGATTTTACATGTGCCACTGTACCGGAGTACACAAGCAATTTTAAAGTTATTTCCACCCCTGTGTACATGAGAGGACGGTGGGGTAGCCTAGTCGGTAAAGCGTTTGCTCGTCACGCCGAAGACCCGGGATCGATTCCCCACATGGGTACAATGTGTGAAGTCCATTTCTGGTGTCCCCTGCCGTGATATTGCTGGAATATTGCTAAAAGCGGCGTTAAACCCAACTCACTCACTCACTCACTCATACCACTATGTCTGAGTATCACTGTACCTACAGCCAGTGGAATGTAAGGTTATTGTATTCCTAATGGAGTTTCCTTGTAAAGACCAGCATTCCTGTATGGAAATGGTAGTAAAATGAAATTGAATTATTCTAGAAACCTGACGTATGATTAGCTCAAGAAGCTGACGTTATGTTGTGTGGTTCTCTAGGGGTTCAACTCACTCTCATTAGGGTCTCTCAGATCTTCTCCCATAGTGGTAGGTATATATTTTGGTTTAAGATTTTGTATTTTGGGTGATGAGAGTGGTTCTTCTCATCGATTAATGATGGTTGCCGCTCTACCAAGGTATTGTTGTATTCATAGGTAGATTTATATTTCACAATTTCACCTTTTAAAATAAAGATAGATAATTTTGTAGAATGAAGATGACAATTTCAAGCGGACATTAACTCAAGCATTTCATTCTATTGTCAGCATTGAAGGCAATGTAATGCAAAGATCAAATCCTGTCAAAATGTGCCATTTTTTTTTAAGCATAGAATTTGATACTGTTATATCTTCACTTGTATTTTCTAATCAGATATAATGAACTATAAATTCTTTGTTCCATTGCTTTAATTCAGCGTTTTCTAGTGATCAAGTTTCAAGGAATCAAAATAATGTGGCATTAAATAAAATTTGTTTGATAATATCTTTGATCTCCTGAAGTAGCCATAATGACAACCAGTTTCAACTTCCCTGGTAGCTGACTAACTTTGCGCAGTACTTGGAAAGTGATCGCCATGGAAACACACAGAACAGGGCTTCTTCCACCAAGCAATCATAGCCCTGTGACTGTTGTGGTTTAGAGAGGGTCCACACTGCAGAGATTATAGTTTAGAGAGGTTTGATAAATTTGATGAAAGTCCACATTACAGAGACTGTGGTTTAGAGAGAGTCAACTCTGCAGAGGTTATGGTTTAGAGAGGTTTTGTTAAACATGCTTAGTCCACATTACAGTGACTGATTTAGAGTGGATCCACACTGCAGAGGTATTGTTTTAGAGAGGTTTTGTTGAACATGCTGAAAGTCAACATTTTAGGGACTGTGGTTTAGAGAGGGTCCACACTGCAGGGATATAGTTATTATCTGGATGAAATGTGCCATGTTAAACATTCTGAAGGTTTCACTAGTCAAGCTCTGTAGTAATTCAGAATCTGTGAGCAGAATATTACTAATATCGCATCATACTAACACCCATGAAATAGTGAAGATTACTTGCTTGATAACGACATTAGTAGCTACACTGACACGTTTCTCATATTAATAATGAAAACATTGTACATAAATAGAACTCTCCCTGTTGGTGTTGCTCATAGCATCAGTCACCGGTTTGTCTGGTCCAGACTTGACATGCCACCATTAATGTAGCTGGAATACTTACTGCTGAGCGTGGCATTAAACAACAAACCAGCCAGCATTTCAAGTAGGTGTATTTAACACAACAAATATACTATATTTACTGTAATAAGTGCCCTGGGTTCTTAGGAATTTGGGGCCGGTGGGGTAGCCTAGTGGTTTAAGCGTTCGCTCGTCACGCCAAAGACACTGGTTCTATTCCCCACATGACCACAATGTGTTCCCCGTCATGATATTGCTGGAATATTGCTTAAAGCGGCGTAAAAACTAAACTCACTCACTCACTCTTAGGAATTGGACAAAATATGTGTTGCCCTGTGTCTGACAATGGTAGTGTGTAAGTTTAACTTCAACATCAACTAACCTATGCAGTTATTATTTACCACAGTATGACATTGTTAATCGCCTTTCTTTTAGGGCCAGACCAATTTAATCCCTTGTTTTATAAATTTGTAATTAATCAAACAGCAAAAATCATTGGGGAAGAAATCAAAATTCATCAGTATTTTTGTTTGAAAGGTAAATTTAATAAAGCATTGTATTAGATACATAGATATATTGACAATGTTTGGGGCTCCATAAGAAAAAAATGGTAAAATTTCATGGTAAAATCTTAGAGTAAGAGAGACTGTGAACAGAGGAAAGGTGGATTTAATTGATAATTTTGAGATAAAGGGTTATCAGAAAAAATTATTTCCAGCAACTTGTTTCTTTTCACACAAAAATGGCTAAATAGTGACTTGTAATACAATAAAATGTATAAATCTGGCCAATCATTGATTTCTCTTATTGTATAAAAGTATTTTCTGTTGTATAATTTTTCTTTCTGTTGTATAAAATTATTATTCCCTATAGTATAATGTTATTATCACTGTGCAACATAATGACTTCCTTTTGTTTTTGTGTTATTGATTCTTAGCACCTGTCACGAGCAATTGTTTACTGTACATAACCCTGTTTGTGTAATATAAACAAAACTTACATATATCATTGTTCTTGGACAATATTTATATATTTTGAAGTGTGGTTTGAAATCAGGAAAATGTGAGTTGTTGTGGGGATTATTTTGTGTACATATTTGAAAGTTGAATTCCAGAGTGGGATGTGACAGTCCATCAATGTTTGAAGAATCTGAAAAAAATGGTGACTTTTAGATGCCTTTAATTTCAGTTCACTTAAACTTGTGTCTTGTCAAGATTTTATGAGTTTCAGACGAGGTTTCACAAACAATAATTATTGCTGATGCTGCAGTTTTACCTCCTTGCTTCAGGTGTCCGTACTTAAGTGCAGATATCCGGATAAGTGTATGTTTATGAAATACTGAAAATCTATCACCATTACCCAGTTAATGTTTGAGTTGAATGCTTAAAAATATCCAAGAAAATTTCAAAAATGGAAATGAATGGGGGCAGATTCAAATTAACGATACCTGAAACAGGGATTTAAGCATGATTATAAAAAATGCAGGTTCATCATTGGTGTTAAAAATGCCCCACAAAATGAACCCCAGTGAGTAAGGATATACTGAAATATAAAAAAGGTATCAATTCCATAGTGAGCCTCGGATTTCAAAACAAAGTAATTGAATGCCCAGTGTAAATGATAACTGATGAGTAAATGCTTGGTATGGTATTATCTGAATGTCTCGGAGAGAGTCCCAGGTGAGATGTCGCTGTATGTCAGTCAGTACAACAATCTAAACATTCGTGTACTATTTGTTTGCTTGCTTATACTGACTATGTATCTTTTTCCTGTTTTGAACTTTGAATCTCTTAAGAAATATTTGTGAATTATTAACAATGGTATATCACTTTCCTGTTTCTGATTTTGTATCTGACAGCTTCCTCCAACATTGATGGTCTGCTGCTGTTGTTGTTACTGTTGAATATTTTGATAGTTTATGTGTGACAATCCCAGGTGTTCATGATGGAATCAGGACTGCTAACATGTGCAGACTCTCCTCAGGGAGCGGAGCACAACTTGCCTTGTGAGACGATTGTATTTCTTTCATACTGTTGAAAAGAATGTTTGGAAGGACATTGTGGGACGCTTCTTAAACATATATTAACATTCCTTAACACTGTGTAAACATATAAATGTTACATAACTCTGTTTAACCAAATCTATTTCTTGGAACTATGTTTTCAGGTTTAAGATATTTAATGATGTTATATGGGGAGGTTGTTTCTCTCTTTACCAGTTTCCACAATGTTTTGTGTGGAGTAAAAATGAGTACAACCTGCTAACTTGTATTACTGTGTGATCTCAGTCAACCAGTTTGAAAAATCTAGTGTCAAATTATATTTGCATAGTCTTAAAATCTGAATCAATATGGCCGTCACAACAGCCATGTTGATACGACTCCAGACTCCTGCTGAAACAAAGACTGACTGTTTAGATGTGTGTTGCAAATAAACATGTGATCTAGATTCTTATCATTTGAATTCTGTCCATTCTGTAGATAAGAGCAATAATATATTTGCCCTACATAACTGTTTTTACATTTTGTCCAACCTGGCACGTATGCCCTGATCTCTGAATTTTGTGCATTTCCTTCGCTGTAACATATTCTTGCTTCAGTACCAAGGTCAAGGCTGAAAGTCAAGGGTAAGGGTTACAGTTCAAGGTCACTACTCTGCCTTTGTGACAAATACACTTCTTACTGTGAAGGAGAATGAGATTTTTGTTTCACTTGAACGTAACTGTTGTTTTAATGTAAACAATTGCGTTTGCTTGGGGGACATATTTTCTGTTTATCACAAAAATTTGTAGTTGGTTGAATGCCTCTAAATGTGTTTAGGTACAGAAGTGACAAAACACACCAATATTTTGTCTCTCAGGAACCAAAATATGTAGGGCAATGTCACATTCAGCTTTTTCTGAATACAGTAATTTAAAATCTGTCTTAAATTTTGATAAATGTAAGAATTACCTTTTGTGCCAGAGAGCCAAAAGCTTGCCCTGTTCAATTTCTGATTGTAATTTATGATAATTAAAATATGGTGAAGTGCTTGGCTTATAAGCTCTAAGCTCTAAGTATATCATTCCTCATGTTATATCAGACAGGATATAAATGCCAGGGAGTATACTAGAGAAGAACTTTTGACGTTATTAATGGAATAGATTCATAGTCAATTAAAACAAGATTTGACCTAGTCAGAGAAATGGTTGATGGCACATTGTTGATATAGATTGCTTAATGGCTCAGTGTCTGTATCTGGTGTTGGAAGA